GCAAAGCATCCAGAAGCAGCGTATCTGCGCTCAGAACGCCCCCTGCTGTTGGCGTCTAACATTCCAAAGATCGAGGACCTCGCCCTGAGGCTCCACTGGACTCGAATGCCATCATTTAATATTTAGGACAGAACACCAAGGACGTGAAAGTAGATACTAACACAAACACCCAGAAAAGACCAGAATAGAAGTGGACTTGGAGACCAGGATCTAATGTAGTCTAAATTGAACCACAAGGCTGAAGAATCAAGATATCATCCCAGATAATCTGGATTAGATTTTGACAAATACTCAATGGACCAGGACTTGATGTAGACTTGATCAACCTGGATTACGTACTGTAGTGAACCTGGCCTTCAGCTCCGACTCGAAGCGAAGAAATGAACCTGGAACCAAAGTTAAAAGTTTTATTTTTTCTTTCACAAAACTTTGAAGCATTTGTAAAAAAAAAATAAAATAAAACAGATAAAAAGTTTAAAAGTCTGAGAATCAACAGCTGTGCTGTTTCGATGAAGGAATGATTATCAGGCTTCAATAATCTTCAAATACAGTGTAGATGCTACACTTACACAAAGACGTCACTATACTTTTACCTTATGTACACTCCACCTGTCAAACTAGTTCAACTATTTGAAAAAACACACAATGTTTTTGTTTTTTTTTAACTTCAAAAAAAAAACTTTGATTAAAAACGACAAAAAATTCCACCTGTATGTGGAAAAATGTGAATTTCGTCTCCGAAAAGATTTTTGACCAACACTGTTGCGGAAAGCGAAAAAAATGATCAACATTTAGGTTAAATGTTGAAGTATTTGACAAGTAACCACGGAGTATGGAGAACAAATACTTTGTTAAAAATATTTTAAAAGAAAGTCGTGAAGTTAGTAAAAGATGCGAGTCTTGTACTCGCAAAAAAAAAAAAACCAAATAAGTGGAGCTGCAGCAGCAGCAGCAGCTGCTGGTTCAACTGAGGCCTGATGAGTCTCTGAGATAAAAATTTCTCTATGGACTTGGATTCACGTTCAGAGACGTCCAAACAAACACACGCATGATTTTCTTTTCTTTTTTTTTATCTGCCCTGTCTCTCGGAGACGACGTCCTGAAGCCTCTTGAGCAGCACATCTTGGCTGCTGCCATTTTCTGGACACGCTCTCTTACTGGGCGAGTCGCAGGTTGTTGATGACATGGTCACATCTGCGTCCATGGTGAAGGCTCGCTTTCTGCTAACACAGCCCTGCCTGATCATACGGTTGATGTCCGAAAACTCCTGCAGACAGACAGACAGACAGACAGACTCAGTTTAAGACTTGTCCACTTACATTTTAAAACCCGTAAACCTGCCCTCACCTTGGATGGACTGTTGTTGATCCTGTAGGTGAAGGAGTTTGGTGTGAGGTTCCCTGAAGAATTCTTGTGCGGGGACACGTAAATTGAGTGTCTCTGAGAGACTCGTCTCGGAGACAGGGGCTGAGCCCGGACAGAGGGGAACGGGGACAAAGGTGGCGCATCGCCCTGGAGAAAGAAGCAGACGCTCAGGAACAGCACGAAGAACAAAGTTTCTGTTTCGGAACTTTTCTTTTAGACGAGAGTCCAAGTCTTAGGCCCGTACCCGCTGGTCGCTGGTGGCGTAGCGTAGAGCGAAACTTTTCATCTTCAGCACAAAGATGCTGTTGTAGAACTCGATGAGATCGCCGCGCTCCTCTTCTCCCGATTGGCTGGACTCAGCGGCTCCCAAGACTTGACTGGTTTTCTCTGCAGCTGAACAAACGCATACAGAACCAATGATGTGTTTTTGGTCTTAGTTCGTAGTAATGTGAACGGGAACTTGGTTGGTGTGTGTGTGTGTGTGTGTTAGTGCATGGTCTTACACTCTCCTCCAGAAACTGGATCCACCTCCATGTTCTCGTCACTTGCCTGATCTCTGTTCTCCTTGTGACGCAGCAACACGCTGCGATAAACCTGCGGAACCACAAACGGAGGTTCTGCTCGGTCACGGGTTCATTTAATCAGGTCAGGTTTTGTCCCTCCTACAGATTTGAACGTTTAGGACAAAGACACGAGGTCCTCCTTACGTGGCTGCAGGCCTGTGGTTGGCTGCGGTAACACTTCATGATGTCCTGGAAGGTGTGAGTCTCCTTGGTGATCTGCCGGCACAACAAAGATGTGAAGGTTGTCGGTTTTCTACGCCGACCCTTTCATGACCCTGATGACCTTTGCGTCCTCACCTTGGAAATGATGTAAATGCTGCACAGCAGCATCTGGTCCAGGTGTCGGTCCTTCATCAGGTCTGTGCAGTGGACCAGAGAGTGTTCAAAACACGTCCAGATCTTACCCCGCAGCTCTGAGGAGATGTCCAACTTCAGGCACAAGTCCCTGAGACGGACGCTGGCCAGGTGGTAGACCTGGAAGACAGGAGTCTTCATTTCACCCTCCAATCCAGTTAGACCTTGAATCTTATTCATTATTCTTTTTCAGCTCCTACCTTTCTGAAGAAGAGAGCCAGGGAACCAGTGCGACGAGGACGTCCACTTCCTGTATGTTGATCAGCGACAGTCGTGGTGGGGACAGTGGGTCGACTTGGGGAGGTAGTGAGTAAAAACTGAGTAGCGACGTTTCCAGAAGAGTCACATGGCTGGACTGGGATCAGCGTGAAAGTCCTCTCGTTGTTCACACCTGAAGTGTTGTTTTGTAAGAAAAAAAAAAAATCAAATCTTTCCTAGTTCTTCGAGATCATCTTCAGCTATCAATGCTACACTGGCTTCTGTGTGTGTGTGAGAGACCCCTACTCTGCAAGGGGATACTGAGAACGGTGGTCTGAGACGCCTGTCCTCCAATCTTCAGAGTAGTGGTGCTGCTGCTAGGGCCAAAGGTCAGGCGTTTGCCTGGAGATGACACCGAACTCAGGACTGGGTTCTGGATCGGGGGGTCGTCTTCAAACAGGCGACGTTTGGCACTGCCTGCCGCCGGAGAACTGTACCTGTCATGGACGGACAGTGGCGAAGGAGGAACATCTGGAACAAAGAGTGAGCTGCGCTTTAACCACTTCGACCCAGATTTATTTCACTCATTTCGTTATGTAAAAACGTAAAAACAATAGGTCGACCTGTCAGAACCGAGCCCGTGGTTCTGGGTCCATTAAAAAAAAAAAGTAGCAACTGTACCTGGACTCACCTTTACGAGTGCTGCTCACAGCTGACCTGAACTCTTTGATTCTCGGGTGGATGATAGGAGAGAGAGCCACAAGAGGAAGGTGGGACTGAGACGCACTTGTAGAACCAGAACCAGAGCCTGAGCCTGAATTATACCCAGAGTCGAGGCTGGAGGGAAAATTCACCTGGAGAAAAAAACAGAGACACGAATAAGTAGAGACATTTGATGACTTAAAACTAGTAGTGGAGGAGGAGGAGGCTGTCTCCTTAAAACTAGTAGTGGAGGAGGAGGAGTAGTGTGTGAGTGCCCCCTGCTGTCACACCTCTTCAATCGTAGGAGCTTTATTCCCGGCGGCCTGCAGGGCGCTCCACACGGCCGACTCTGACGTCCAGGCTCGGCTCTCCAGAACCTGCTCCTCAATGGAGTTCAGATGTTTGACCATGTCTCTGGATAGACCTTCTTCTGAGCGGATAAACACCTCGATCACCTAAAACCACACACACGCACGCACACACACACCAGGGACATTGCATGAAGTGTTCTTCAGAGCCTTAATGGGGGAAGAGTGAAGGTAATGGTTAAAGAACCTTGAAGAAGTAAAAGGGAGACAGTCGGAAGACGCTGATGATCCAGGGGAACGTTCTCTGGGAGCTGTAGGAGAAGAGGACCACCTCCAGACAACAGGCCATCAGGGAGCAGTGGAAGATGTCCTGCTCCAACAACATCTGCGCACGCACACGCACGCACAAACACACACAGAGTGTGAGTTTTTTCTCTTTATTGGCTAACGTTTTATATGTTTACGCTTCAACATTTCACACTCACGCTCATGTCCTTTCCCTGCAGACGTTTGTTCTCTTGGACTAGGACGTTCTCCAGGACCTTGTAGTACAGGATCTGGGCCAGTTTCAGACGACTCTCTGCAAAGTCTGAAAGAAGACCGTGACCGTGTGGGATTCAGCAAAGTTCCATGTGTTACCAGCTCTGTGTGTGTGTTGTACCTATGTGAGATGCAGGTGAGTCCTCAGAGTCCTTGGTGTAATGCTCTTTAAAAGTCTGTCCCAGGGTCTTGACTCTGGTCAGGACAGTCTCTGTGGGGTCTCTGGAGCAGGACCTTCAGACGAGACAAGAACATGACAATGACACACAGTCTAGGTCAACAGGACTGTTTGGACAGAACTCAAAGACAAAGAGAACGCCCACCTGAAGATCTGGACGAGGTGATCACTGGGGGCAGTCCTCAGACCCGTCACCATGCTCTGAAGACGACTGACGCTCTGGGTGGCCGAGGAGACCGGAGTCACCAGGAGGTCTTTCTCCTTCAGGTAGAACCGTCCTGTAAGAGGAGTGGATGGAGCGAGAGACACCGAAGACTGAGGAGAGAGAAAGAGAGATGTGATTGAATACACAGGTATGAGTGTACTCAGAACAGTGAGTGTGTGGGTGTGTGTGTGTTCCTCTTCAAACCTTCTCCACCTGCTGTTGCAGTCGGTTGGATGCCTGCTCCTGGACGCTCGTCCTGGGCGGTGCGGTCTCCGCAGCGTCTGCTCCCAGGAACACCCTCTCGTCAAAGTCCCCCACCGTCAGCACGTACTCCTCGTACTCTCTGTTGACGGACTTACTGCAGGGGACAGAGACCCCCAGACCAGAGCTTTGACAATGTCCTTCATACATGTGCTGCTGCTGCTGCTGACATCACTCAACAAAGATCAACAGAAGAAGAGAAAACTAGGACAAATACATGAAAGGTAGGACGGAGCCCAGAGTTAAGAAGACATGAGACTGCGTAAAAGAAGAAGATAAACACACTCCAATGTGTCCTCTGCACTTAACCCATCGGTGAAACAGGAGCCTGCTGGTCATGGGATTTAAACCATCAGCCATCTGATCTCAAGCTCTACCCGGGGCCACAGGCTGCCACATTTAAGGATTATGAATATTTAAGGTCAACTGTGCACTAGTGTTGTCACAGTACCAGCATTTTGGTACGAGTACCAATGTGTGTTTCAATACTTTTCGGTACTTTTTGATACTTTTTGACACACTGCGATTACATGTGTTGGAGTTCTTGCCTCGTTAGACACCGACTCCTCCGGACTGGGATGTACAAATATATATGAATCCAAAATAGAGGCTTAAATTTTAATTCAGAATTTAAGTACACTGGAATATACAGTAAGTCGCAGGCTATTTTGGAAAAAACACGTTGCTATTGCTGTTTGTTAAAAGTGACATATCATTTTTCTGCTTATTAAATCGGTTCCTTATAGTGTCCTAAAGAAAGTTCTGCAACATGCATTGATAAGGTTTAAGCATCACAACAGCTTTTTTAATCCTGTCAAAACAGCCCTGCTCCAAACACTGTTTCAGTCAGATTCTCACATTTCCGATGGTACCTGATCTCCCGCTCTCTATTCCTCTCCCTCCCGTCCCATCCTCTCTCTCTCTCTCTCTCTCCCTGCTGTCCTCGCTCATTGCTTCGTTAAAAAAAATAGTACTATTTTAAATACTTTGGTACCGCAGTACCTCTTTAGTAGCGGTGTAATAAACAAGCTTACTCTGCCCTGATAAAAATAGACGTGTGTGTCTGTGTGTGTAAGTAAGGATGTTTATGCTCACTTGTTGTCGTTAAAGTTCTGGGGATCCAACAGTTCTGTTAAAAGTTCTCCGTTTCCTCTCAGGATCTAGTTCAGGAAAAAACAGACGAGACAAGTTCGAGGCTACTTTTGAAGGACGGCCTTTCAACTTTGACAGTCTCAGTTCAGTTCAGTTCTTAAGTTTATAAACGGTTGACGGTGCTGTTTCTGAGAACCTGTCTATTAAAGAGCTTCTGGATGTAGGGTCTGAAGTAGTGCTGCTTGATGCCTTTGGCCTCCACCACCAGACCATCATGAAGTTCACACAATCTCTCCAAGACACAGGGAGGAGCTCCATCTACCGGAAGCCTGCCTTCAGAGCGGTACGCAGCAGGGAGACCTGAAAACATCTGCTGTCACTCAGGTGTAGGGTCTAATTATTCTGAAACTAACAGCCCTTAGTGAAGGAAGTAAAACACAATGTGTGTGTGTTAACCTTTAAAGGTGGGGTTAATGAGTTCCTTCCTATTGGTGCAGAGGAGAGCGTTTCCATACACCAGGTCCAAACAGCACAGCAGCAGGTGGTACGAGTTGACCAGATCGTCACCGATCATACTGAAGTTTCCTGCTCGCGCACACACACAAACAGATATTTAGCCGAGGGTCAGACGTCGTGACATCATCTGAAACGTGTGGCTCCTGTTACCTTTGGTGTTGATAAAGAGTGTCCAGCAGAACTTGAACACATCACTGATGTGACACGGCAGACGTCTGTGGGAAACACATGAGAATTCTCTAAGACAATATCACAGGACGGTATGAAAAAGAGTTTAAAAAAAAAGAAAGGAAACTGAAGTTTGTGAATTATTCCAAACCAAACCTCATAGAGAAAAGTGTTTTTAGACCAAAGAGACATAGCAGCTGTATCGGTTTAAATGCGTTTTTGTGACGACACTAATTAAAATCTATTGCCTAGTTTATTTCAGTGTCACAAACTGACCAAAAGAAGGGAGATCCTGTGTCCCTGTGAGCTCAAATCCCTGACTTTCTCCATTAACTTTTTTCTGGTGAGAGTGAGAAGCTTAGCTTAAACTTCAGCTTATTGATGTGAAAGTCTGTTTGACAGAGATGAGATGAAGACTAATGATGAGTATTGTACACATCAGGGTTTCGTGCATTGTCATCTTGTTGTGTTGTCGTTGCCATGTCTGTGTCCCACCTGTGTTTCCTGCTGCGTGGTTGTCTCGGCGGATCTCCGCCTTGTGGGTTTTGAAACATGTGCATGAAGATGGGCTCAAATTTACGGAAGATCACTGTGGAAACCTCGAAGTTCCGTTCCAGCTGATCCATGCGGAGACGAAAGTGCTGTGAGAGGTTGGACATGTCGGACCATTTCCTCATCTTAGAAAAGAACTGGATGAGACTGGAAACAGAACATAGCGGTAAAAATTTAAAAACAGCAATAGAGATATTTCTTTATGGTTCTGTCAAAGACAGCACTGACCTGAGTTTGGACTTTGATATTTCTCAAAGACAGCACTGACCTGAGTTTGGACGATCGAAGAATTCTGGTCAGAGACACACAGTTTCCCTCCATCACACCTTTACCCACAGTAGGGACGGATCCTTTTCTGCAGGCTGAGTAAAGGGCACAAGCCAACCAATGGACCACATCACCCTGAACAACGACAAGAAGAACAACAACTGTGTCTGGAGTACATTTAAAGAAACCATCGCACCCTGAACAACAACAAAGAGCACTCACAGAAAGTGAACAGAAAATACACACCAGCCAGAAGAAAACTAAAAAGCAAACCAAAAGAGACTAGAAGTATGTGGTCCAAAAACATTGACAGTTGATCAGTCTGTCTGGAAACAGAATTTTACACAAATCATAACAGTTTTGTAGATGACATGTGAGCATGGAGAATATGTATTTTTCAACCATTTAGCCCTCAAACTTCTACACCTCCAACACCACAAATGTCTAATTAATTTTTTTTTACATGAATAAACTATTATCTCTGAAGTTAGGCAATAGGTGGAAGATGCTAGCACTAGCCCCACACATCGTTTCATTGCTCAGCATTGCATGGCTACTTTGTATTATCATAGAGACTGTATCAGAATACCACAACAGACTATTATTCAAATTTAAAACTGTTATTCCTGTCCTTTCACTTCGTGTTCATTTGTGTACATTGCGGCAAAGCAATTTGTTAGGACTATTCAGCACTGTCATAATAAACCAAAGGGAGTATTTGAAGAAGAGCACATTAATAGTTAAAATTAACTAATGATCCAAACTCTCTACGTTATATAAAGCTATAAATGATGTCAACGTCTGGCAAGTTTAAACGAGATAGGATTTGTCACTTAGGGGTGGGGTGTGCGTTTCATATTTACACTGTCATTTGTGAGAAAAATTAGAATAAAGTCGTATAATTGTGATAATTTGTGAGGAAGTTTTCCTAACTCCGACGCGTCTACCCTCCCTTTAACTGTTGTTGTAGCAGTAAGCAGGTCAACGGCTTAAAGTGGTAGTCAGTGAACAGAAACCTCCTTCTGCTCCTCCTCCCCCACTTCCTCTCTGCACTCACCTCCAGAGTGTACGTATTCCAGATGGTATTGAAGTTATCCATGGCGGCGGAGGCGGTCTGTTCGTCCATGTTTAGCTCCTGACACAGCGCCTCCAGACTCCTCCGAACAGCGCTCTCCTCCATCCTGCCTCCAATCTCCGGGTCCGGCGACTCTTCTCCCCGCATCCCTGCTGCAGCCACTCAGCTTCACTATCGCCCTTTCACCCGTTTATTAAGTAATTTGTTTACCCTGAAAATAAACAACACCATTAACTTCCTGCTTCACTGCCGCAGCACTTCCGCTCGGTGTCTACCCACAGTGCACCACAGTGGCGGGAAAACTCCAGCCCCGCAAACCAATGAGAGGAGAGTCATGTTACATAGTTGACCAATCATCATGCAGAAAAAGAAAACAGAACGATTTATTATTATCGACTATAATAATGATGATGATAATAATAATACCAATAAATCCAATAATAATAATAATAATAATAATAATTATAAGCTGCCAAGTTACCACTGAGGTGCTCTGAGCATGGTACATCTCACACACCACTCCCTGGGCTCAAAGCTGCACCCTGTTTACCTTAATGATGGGTAAAAAGCAGGTTACATTTCGTTGTGTGCAGTGGTGTGCTGTGTCACAATGACAAATAGTTCACTTTCCACTTTCCTAGTAATAATATAATTAAAAGTACTGATCGAGTTGTATATTTTAAGTAAGGGTCAGAGTTTCTACTCAAAAATGAAAACGATTTCAGATTTTATCAATTTTATTGTGTCAAAGCAAAATCAGTACAGATGACTTTCAAAAGTAGGATATCACCACCTGCAGATTCAAGTAATTAAAATACATTTCTAAGATTTGTTTGAAAACCTGTGTAAAACCTCAAACTAACAAACCACTGACAAAGCACAGCTTATCCAAGAAACATTTGTCACACTACATTAACAATATATTTTCTTACTCTGTCACCACAGATTAAAATAAGGAGAAATTAAATGAGACAGAAATGATCGTGAGACAGCAGAGGTTGTACCAGAAAGAACCAGAGACATACAACAATAATGAACACATTTAAGCTGACTTATTTAAGGAAGAACAATCAACCCCCTAGAGCACAGTAAGCTTAACACATCAACATGCATCACAGCGAATACTAGTGATTTTATCTTAAGAATGACGTCACTCTCTGTCAATTTAATTAATTCAATCCACTTGAGCAGATTAAAGATGCTCATCATTTGTCTCCTCAGTGAGTGCTGTATCTGCTGTTATCTCTGGTCTCAGTCGTTTTTATCAGCAACTTGGGAGCAGGAGATCCACTGCCTCCAACAGTATTGTGGTAACCGTTGGTATTTTTGGTGCCTGGAAGAACCATAGGTGGGAAAAAAGTTTTTTTTTTAAAAAATGTTACAGTTAAAGGTGAAGCCTGCATTTTGATTAACTTATATTTGCTAAGTTCACATTTAAAAACCATTGATATTTGGCAATGACCCTTTAAAAACGAATTTCCATTTATTTTAAAGTGTGTTTCTTTAGTGCCAACGTGTGTGTGTGTGTGTGGTGAGAGTGTGTAACTCACTGTAGCTGGACATTGTGTGAATGCTAAGGATGGACTGTTGTCCCAGTCTGAGAGAAACAAACAGAGGCAGGGTTACTAACAGTTAATAGTTAGCTTAGCAGATGCTAAAAAAAAAAAAAGAACCAAAAGAAAAGTGCAAATAAACAATGAAGACATAAATAAAGGTAATCTAGTAATTAAAGTGAAAAAGCCTAAAGTCCTAACCTGTCCTCCTCTCCTTCCAGCAGCTTCCTGTAGGTGGCGATCTCTATGTCAAGAGCCAGTTTCAGGTTCATCAGATCCTGTAGAGGATTGAGGAGAAACAGATTAGTGGTAATGGAGGGCTTCTGGACCAGTTCTGGTGCAGTGTCTGAACCTGGTCCCAGAGCAGATTCTAGATTCACGGACCTGGTACTCTCTCAGCTGCCGGGCCATGTCCTGCTTAGCTCTCTGCAGAGCGTCCTCCAGGTCTCTGGTTCTAGTCTTGGCCTCCTTCACGGCTAACTCTCCACGTTCTTCAGCCTCAGCCAGCTGGTTCTCCAGACCTGAACGCTGCAGCAGGACAAGAACATGGACTCAGTTTTTAGGGACGGGAACTGAATTAAAAAAAAATAATTTAAAAATCTGTTTTATCCCTAAACAAAAAAAAAACACAAAACTGTTCTGCATCCAATCAGAAAGACTGACATTTCAACACTTACGTCGAAAAAAGAAAATTACATTGATTATTGATCTGAATGTACCTGTCTATATTTAGCACATTGCGCCGCTTCCCTTGCCTGTAGGTGGTGCTAAGTACACATTGTAAACTCTTGCGGTGTCTCATTTGAATCCAGTCCTGTGAAGTGGCTCAGAGCCTAAAATAACGGCGTGAAGTTAAAGTCACCTGTGCTTTGATGGCCTCGATCTCACTCTGCAGCCGACCGATGAGTCGATTGACTTCGGCCACTTCCCCTTTAACCAGTCGCAGCTCGTCTCCGAACTGACTGGCCTGAACTGACATCTGGTCAAACTGCAGACACACACACACACACAGGTTTAACCCAAAAAACCCTGTGGGTAAAGTGTCCAGCCGGTGGGAGACACACCCATAAACACACACATACACACACAGGTTTAACCCAAAACCCCTGTGGGTAAAGTGTCCAGCCGGTGGTTCGTTGGCAGAAACAACAGGAAACTGTGAGTTTGTAGTTTCAATAAAAGAGGTTTTGATGATGCAGAGGAATGTGACATCACACAAAGAAGTTTGATGGGTCCATCACTCTCCCCCCTCTCCCTTATGTCTCCTCTTTGTCTTGGGTTTGGCAGGAGGACCAGATCTGGATCAGCTTTCACTCTCTGATCAGAACCTGAGCCTCCAGAGTAAACGGACACCGTCAGACCTCACTAGGGGGTGTGGTTCACTGTCAGTGAAATGACGGGAGCCACTGATTGGTCTGCTGGAGAGCTGCAAAAAATCTGCTGTTTCTGTCCTTCGCAAACGTCCAATCCTTGATTTAATGATCCAGTCATCTATAGCACAAGTGTCAAACTCAGGCCCGGGGCCCAAATCTGGCCCGCAGTGTAGTTATATTTGGCCCGTGAGATCATATCAAATGTGTACTAGAGTTGGCCCGCCAGTATGTAGGCTTTATATACTGGCAGGATTTGTAGTATAAGCGATGTATACGCTACGTTATAGCACATACTTTTTTTTTTGTTTTTTTTGTTGGCTTGTGAAAAAAAGATTTATATTAAAAAGGAACTGTAATGTTGTTTATAATGTTCATCACTGATTTTAAACATGTTTCTATGCCCTGTTTTTAAATTATTATCTGTTTTATTATTTGATGTAAAGTGTCCTTGAGTGTCCTGAAAGGTGCTTTTTAAATAACATTTATTATTATTATTATTATAAGGAGACATAATAAGAAATAAATACGACTGATGTGTATTTTATTTCAAATTGAATTTCTCATGTGTTTATAATATTAAGCTTTGGTTGATCCAGATTCAATGTTTACGCAAAACTTTCCATATGGAAAAATTCTACATAACATATCTGGGGAGAAGGAAAAAACATGAAGTTTGGCCTGAGACTTTGTCCCAGTTTTTAAATTTTGGTCCACTGTGAATTTGAGTTTGACCACAATTGCCGTCAAAAAAAAGAAGAACGTTTGGCCTGAGACTTTGTCCCAGTTTTCACTTTAAACAGAGCAGTGCGTGGAGACAAAAGTGGGTGGAGTCTGTGAAGAAGCATGGCTCCTCCTTCAAATGACGTGCAGACTTGAGGAGTCATCGCTCCCCGGCCCCGGTTACCCACCTTGCTCTTGTACCAGGCCTCCGCCTCCTCCCTGCTCCTGGCGGCGATGTCCTCGTACTGGGCTTTAACTTCAGCCACGATGGCCTCCATGTTGAGGCTTCGGCTGTTGTCCATCTGAACCACCACGGACGTGTCCTTGATGCTGGCCTGCAGCTCCCTCAGCTCCTGCTCGCACAGGAGGAGAGCACGGAGCACAGAAAAACCCTCTCAGACTATTAGACCGTTAAAACTCCTCGACTCAGAATCTAACGCCAGACAAATGCTACGTATGTTACGTTCAAAGAAAAAAAAAAAAGTTAGGAATTTGCCTCGTCGTAGATGTTACGCAGGAAGTTGATCTCATCGGTCAGGGCTCCCACTTTGTCCTCGAGGTCAGCCTTGACCAGATAGGCCGAGTCCACGTCCTGGACACAAATACACACGGTTACACACTATGCTGACAGTTTCTCTACAACTGAATTCCTTTAAAAATATATATCGTTAGTATAGTATCGTAGTATAACGCAATATATCGTACTGTTCCCCCCAGGATGATTACGTGTCGACTCGGCAGATTCTTACCAATCCTCGTGTATTGTTAATTATTGAAAATAATTATACGTAATAAATTATTGATAATTATTATTATTAATAATAATTATATAATAAAATAATAAATGATTGAATTATTTTTATATATATTATAATATAATAATTATTAATTAATTAATTAATTAATTAATTAATTAATAAATATAATATAATTATAATAATATAATTAATAATTATTATTAATTATTATTAATATTTATAATTAATAAAATTAATTATTTTGTACAATAACAAAAAACAATTTGTTGTGTCATCAGGAGACACGAGGAAAAAATCGAACAAACGTTGAAACGGATTAAATTATATTATAATTATAATTACAGTATATTGAATTATATTCAAATTATAATCGTTCCAAATTTAGTTTCAGGGACAAACTGATGAAGATTTCCCGTGTGACTTTTCAGAGATTGACAAAACAAAGGCTCATCTTTCTGACCACACCTGTCACGGCGTGTGTTACAGAGTGTGTGTGTGTGTGTGTGTGTGTGTGTGTGTGGACCTTTTTCAGGATGACAAAGTCATTCTCCAGGTTGTTCCTCTTGTTGATCTCATCCTCGTACCTGAGGTGAGAGGAACAATGAGGACGTTTGAATCCAGGTTCCTCTCTCTGCTCAGCGGTAGCGGTAGCAGAACGGCGCCCCCTCCTGCCCGCCGCCCCCCCCTCCCCCCCCTGGCCGCCCCTCTCTAACCTCCACCCTCCTGACACTCACTTATGCTTGTAGTCCTCCACCAGGCCCTGCATGTTCCTCAGCTCTCCGTCCAGCTTGGTCTTGTCGTTGTTGACCAGGTCCATCTGTCGCCTCAGTCCTGCCATGTAGGCCTCGAAGAGCGGCTCCACGTTGGAGCGACTGATGGCGTGACCCTGCAGGAGATCCAGCTTGGTCTCCAACATCTTGTTCTGCTGCTCCAGGAAACGCACCTGAAGACAACAGCGGCGACGAGAATGCGAAGAAAACACAGAAGGAAAATCTTAAATCTTAAATATTTATTTTTTCCAAACATAAAAAAATAAAAAAAACAACAGCAGTTTATTTATTTCAACCACATTTATAACAGGCTCTGATGTCATGTGTAATAATAAACAGCGCTGCGTTTCTGTACGTGCACGGTTCACTGTCTGTGCGTATCTCAGGTTTCCTGCCTGCAGCCGGGTCTGTCCTCCTCCCATGATCCCTGGCCTCCTCCTCTTCCTCCTCTTTCTCCTCTTCATCGGGAGACAAAGAGCTGTTTTCTCTGCCTTGACACTGAGCCTCCCTGTCTTTCACCTCCTCGTCGTCGGGTTACAGTGAAACTCAAAGGAGAGGAAATGGGTCACCCTGATCATGTGTCCACCCCACGTAGCCAGCCCACGACAAATACCCACTCCAGGACCTTCTGTTAAATCCCCTACTGTTCCAGGGACAGAAAACCAATGTTTTTTACACGGCAAATACACTCCAGACCACAAAATATATATACAAGTTACGAAACAGAAACGTTAAATGGAATTGGAATTTGTCAAATGGTAAAAGAATAGCTCATAATTTGCAAAATATAAACTTAAAGGATAGCCTAAAAAAAGCTAAAAGCGACAAAAATCATTTACAATAACTTACAATGTATTCAAGTTAGCTCTAAGGCGTTAGCTAAGAGCAGCCAACAGAAAAAAAGACATAAATTATGGCATCAAACTATCACCATTTGTGTTATTATATTATTCATAATGTATAATAATAATAATAACATTAATATATTAAGATAATGTTACAGTAGTTTAACTCCTGTGCAACTTTAGCCTTTGTTTTTTTTTATTTTAGCCTGTGTGATGCTAACGCTTGGTATTTTAACCCACTTCCAGCTAACGTCATTCATTTTTGGTATGTTTACTTTTAGCCTCATCTGTTGATTTATTTAGACTGTTGCTTTTTTGGGGGGGGAGGGTGGGGGGTAAATATGAACTTATTTTGCTTAATTTATTTTAAAAACTTCTGGTAAGGCTACTTTGTTCAAAGCTTCTAAGTCAAACGGTACCTATTTTGGACTCTCGCTTTGGACAGCGAGCGTGTGTTTCAGATTGGACACTTGGACACTGATGCTCTTGTTAAACACACTCAGGTTTTCTCATGGAGTCACTAACAAAATCGCTGACAAAAGGCTCTTTGTCTCTGTTCTCACAACAGCTCAGATTCACCTCACACACAAAACACAGCAAGACACAGAGATGGACTTTGATAAGAAGGAGTCATTTCCTCTCTTTTTTTCCACACCAAAGTCCATAGAGAAAACCAGAGATTTTAGCTCAGACCAAAGTCCATAGAGAAAACCAGAGATTTTTAGCTCACAGACCAAAGTCCATAGAGAAAATCAATGATTTTAGCTCAGACCAAAGTCCATAGAGAAAA